GCAACGAACATTCAATAAACAGATGCTTAAGAGGAGGCATACTGGACGAACGTTTTTGCTGCTATGGAGCTTACATTCTTGTGGGGAAGACGGACAATAAATCAGTAACAAGCAAATGTGAAATTAAAAGCAACAAAATAATATTATGAGGAAAATAAATAGATGGTGGTCATGGGAGCTATTTTCGGAGAGCAGGGGGAGGTTTGGGGAGGTTCTGTGGGTTTTCCATGAATGTGCTGAATTCAGAAGGTTGAATTCTCATCTGCTAGCAGCTGGAGCTCTCCCTGTAGAGGGGACCATGTAGGGGACAGGAAGGCTGCTGAGAGATTCATTCTGCCTTCCCAGTTAAGGTGAACGTGATTCAAATGAGCTCTCCAATTTTTTTTTTATTTTCTAAACTTTGTATATTCTACCCGATTTTGCATACTGTGGAGTCCTGGTGATGTGCAATACCTGGTAGTTTGTAGGGTCGTGGAGGTACAGGCTCCTTGTCCTCTTCCTAGTGGCTTCTGTACAGGCAGCTTTTTGTCTCTGCACCTCCTGCCTCCTCTGGGCTCCGTTAGCTGCGTTGCATATGATCCTCCTTGTAGTTCAATGGCATCTAATGACACTTTGCTGCGCGCTTTCCTGCCAGTTGCACTTGGAACATAAACCCAGAAGCACGGGGTAGAGAGAAAGCAGCCAAGGCCTCCAGGTCGCCAGGAACTTGGCTAGAAGCCCCATTCACACTGGGAAACACACTAGAAAAATAAACTTGGCGCTGGTGACCCGCAGTCCTTCCTCCTGTGATGCTATGTAGATGGTCGCAGACCACCAGAGTCACGCTCGCCAGCCTTCAGTGGGGCTGACAAATGCTTAGACACCCGCTTATCTCAGGGTGGCACCATCTGCCAGCCTTGTGGGGCTGTGTGCTGTTTGGGTTGGCGCCGGAGCACAGCCTTCTACTTTATGTAATAAGGCACATCAGAAAGGCCTTTGTGCTCACCCCCTCAGAGCAGGCGCTGGGAAAGACCTCATTTGTACCCCATCATTTTATGTACACTTAAAGCCAGGGTATTTCTACGTGGCCTGGTAATTTTTCTTCTAAAAATTTAGAAAATTTTAGCGTTTTTCCATCCCCTCTACTCTTTCTATTTTTTTTTTTTTTCTCAGCCCAATGCTGTTTTACGCTGGGTCTGAATTCTCATGGCCTGGCTTTGGTTTAAGATGAGTGTCATGAATCTCAGTGTGTACTGGGATGATACCCTTTCTCTTTTGGAGAAACAGTTTTCTTAGCATGGGTGTGACACACACACACACACACACACACACACACACACACACACACACACACACAGAGGCTGATGAAGCAAGACTGTTTGTGTTCAGTCAGGCAAACTCCCCTTTTCTAGTCAGTACCAAGAAAAAGGCAAACAAGAAATAGACAACATTCTCTCGGAGAAGCCTTGTTTCTGTCCCCACCTAAGGTAAAGCCTCTTTTCTGACTTTAAAGGATTTCTGTTTGAATTATCAAGAGAAAGGTCCATTAACGTTCTTGGCCACTTAACTTTGTTATTCATATCTCTCTTTCCCATTAATTTTTTTTTCCTCCCTAGCAGCACAGTGTTAAATGTTAGCATGAGGTGTTGGCAGCCTCTTTGAGGGAACAGATTGCTCTGGAATAAACACAGCTGGAAATGGACCACCTATTGTTTTTCTTTCTGTTAGGAAATGAAAGAGCTATTTATCAAAAGGGTAGAGAACTGGGCTTCCAGAGTTACTTCAGGGATTTATAACTGCAGGACTGCTTAATGAGCAATGCCACCCCTGGGTGTCTGAATGGGCCAGCTAACCTTCTGCCTCCCTGAATGGCTTCCATGGCCCCGGGAACAATGAACTCACCAAGGTTTGCTACCGCACAAGAGCAGGAGGTGGAGCCTGCTCTGTTCTTTGCCTCTAACTGAAGTGTGCCGTCTTTGGAGCTCAGTAAGGGATGACTTCTGTTGGGGCTCCTTCCGGAGTCCCTGTGTTTGCAGCTGTGAAAACCTCCTGGGATTTGTTGAAGGTTCTGGACATGGACAAGTAAGTCTAGGAGGGTCTTGGATATGTCTATGTCTTCACGTTACTTGATTTACATCTTCAAAAAGAGAGGACACTTTTCTAAGTGACATTTGCCTGGGTTCTTGCTGTCCCTGAGTTGAATGTTTTGGAATTTTATCTTTGTGAAAATGTTGAACACCATGAAAATCTCTAATGTGTAGGTATAGATAGTCAGGGATCAGATCTGGAGATTAGAGGCTAGTCATTTCAGCCAGAGGCTGCTGATTCTGGGGCAGAGTGATATGATGTGGGGTGGGGTGACTGGGTGTGTGTGGGAAGTAGGGGAGAGCAACGGAAGGCTGTGTTATTGTCTTGGCCATTTATTCCATTTGTTTCTGTCCCCAGGAGTCTCTCTCCACTCTTTCTCTTCCTTCATCCTTTGCTCTGCTGTCTTTGGATAGATGGTTTGATAATTTATTGTGTTATGGTGTCACAACTAGTTGCTGCTAAGAAGTGCTCCTGATGTGTTAAGCCATTGACATGGAGATTTTCCTCTAAAATCAGTGATTTCTCTTCACACCTGTCATATAGGAACCACATTAGAAGTGAGGAAATGTAACTTCTGCCTAAGGTTTGACTAAATGACCTCTGGGAGCCCTTATCACAGACAAAATGTATTTTACTTTATTTTTGTTTTATTTGAGAAAAAGCTAAGGTACTATTTGTTGGGCTTTTCTGGTTCCCTCTTTGTTATATTGCTAACTATTTGTCATGATTTGAAGTGGAGCATCTTGTTCCTTGCTGGAGTGACTCTTTCAAATGGCATCTCCTGTCTGTGTGGCTGAGGTTCATGGATGAGTCTATTTAGAGTTAAACCCTCCATTTATTAGACCTAGCACCTTGGCAGCACAGTGAAAAGCCCTATACATTGTCAATCCACTTTCGCATTGGTCTGATTAACTTTGTAAATATGTGCTAAGAGGTCTCTGAGAGTCAGGAGAAGGGAGGAGTAATGATGTACCCATTCTTTATAGAACACTAGAAAGAAATGAACAGATAGTTGAAAAACTATTTACTAAAGATATTCCCCAAAGGCTTTCTTTATGTTGATCATTGACTAGTATTGTCTTCATATTAGTTGCTGAATTGATCTAGATATTGAATTTCTAAATAATAGTTTAAAAAAGCTCAATTATACACAATTTTAGGGTTCTGATAACATAGCCAGTTTTATTCGTGGATTTCTTACTATTTTTTTGAAATGAGACATCTAGATATTTTCTCTATATGATCATAATGAAAAGGTTCTTTGGATATCTCAATGTTTTTCATATGTATTGTCTGGTTTGATTCTTACATTTGGTTCAGAGAAGTAAATATTGATTTATTTCTGGATTTTACAGCCGAGGAGACTGAGAGTTAAAAGCCAGTTCAGTGCTGAGGACATGGCTCTGTGGTTAAGAGCTCTGTCAGCTCTTGTAGAGGACCAAGGTTCTATTCCTAGCACCCACAGGGTAGCTCACAATAGTCTATAACTCCAGTTCCGGGGGATACAACACCTTTTGTCCTCCTCTGATACTGTGTGGTGATGCACAGACATATATGCAGGCAAAACACTGTGCACATAAAAGAAAACATCTTTTGGAAAAAAGTCAGCCTGTAGTTCCCTTGGTAAGAGAAATAACCCGGTGATTTTTAAACTCACAACCCCCATCCCATTCCCCGGCCATTTAGTGGAAAGATCTCCACATCAGGTGTCAGGAGACCTCTACACAGATATGCTCATGAGGTCATGGCTGACTCTGTGATGTTGAACAAGTAAGCCCTTTGGGTGCATTTTTCATGCATACTGTACTTGGAATTCTTATGTTGTGCCTTAGGGTCTACTAGGATCTCATCCAGAGCTTGTATCAGCTCTGATGTGCCCACTTGGCAGTACAGAGGAGAGATGAGGAAAAAGGCGAGACCATAGGCATTGTGTCCAGCTCTGCCTTGACTTCTCCTGCCAAGTGCAAAGACCTGGGATCTATGCATAGGATGAAACCCCCAGGCCCTTAACAAGACTGACTTGTCCAATCTGCTTCCTCAGCTGGCATTTCCCAGTCTGTTCTTTTGGACTCAGCAGCAAAAGTGCTTGTGCCAATCTCAACTATAGTTTCTGCCCAGGGATGAGCAACATCAATCTGCATTCCCATCTATACCCCAAAGAAACGGTAACTTGGCATGAGCCCATCTGTCGTCCTAATCCTTGTCAGAGCAGAGCAAACATATCACTGCATGCTTCAGGTAGTAAGTCAGATGCATTCTCTTCAGTTGTCCAGCCTCTTGCAGGTAGCTGAGGAATGAGTAAAGAAAGAAGAGCCGAGAAGTGTTTTTTCTTTCTTTTTTTTTTTTTTTTTCCCATTTCCATCATCAGTTTTAACAATGCTCTCAGACCGATTTAGAAAACTGTAGGATACTGAGGTCAGGGTGACTACATCTGATTGCTGTTAAAACAAAAATGAACAACAACCAAAATACCCCACCTATAAACAGTCATAAGCCATCATGATTACTGTATAAAAGAACAACCCAAGAAGTTAATGTGACAATTTCTCAGTGGGCAGGAAGGATCCACCTTCTTAGCAAAAGAGTTGGCTTTTTTTTCTTCTTCAGTGTTGTGGATTAAGCACTGGTCTTGCATATGATAGGCAAGTGCTTTACCACCGAGCCACACTCCCAGCAAGAATTAACATTTTCACCTTGATATGTGTACTCTGGGCCTATGGCAATGCCATTTCTGGTCTCAGCCTGCATCTGAGAAGCTGTCTGATGCCCTGGCCCCTCTCACTTACTGGCTGCTTCCTTTGCAAGTTGTGTTCTGAGCTGGGAAATGAGAGTAGATACCTGTGACGACTTCTTGCCTTTGCTCTGGAGTCTTTGCCCTCACTCTTTTGCAGCAAAGTAGACTTTGACATTTTTCCTTATGTCCTCCCCCATAGGCAAGAAGCGAAATCCCGGCCTTAAGATTCCAAAAGAAGCATTTGAACAACCTCAGACCAGTTCCACGTAAGTTGTCAAGATGATGGATCTGTTCCAAATACTTGTATTTTACATGCTTGCTGCAGGGGCCTCATTTTTGGACTAGCAGATGAGGTCTTGACTTTGCACATGGTTGTTAAAAAGAACAGCCCTTGGGGAGGGAAGTTGTTTGCTCACTCCTCTGAGATCTGAAGCAGGCAGTCTGTTAGTCTACATTGATCTGTAGCTTTGAAGTCAGTGTCCCAAATTGCTGGCTGACTGAAAGCTACATGCCACACGGTAGTTGAGATCCTCTATAAACCCAGCAAGTTCCACAGGTGTGGACTGTCTCAACTTCTCCCTGTAGATATCAATGAACAGACAAATAAATCCACGTGTGTGTGGGGAGCAGTATTCTGAAAACTGAGTTGAAATGGAAGGATGGTATTTGATGAGCACCTGCATTTTGACACTTAATCCTGTCTTTATAATCAGAATGCAAGATAAGCTAAAGGAATGCTTCTGTATTAGCCCCAAACCCTGCGTGAGCTCAAATCCTCTTGTATATCTGTGAGGTCGGCTAGGTATCTCCCACTCAGCTGGAGGTCCAAGAACCAATGCATCTGCCTACTAGGAGTGGGGAAATCCAAGACAAGAAACCACAAGAGAGACCCTAGACTAGCAGAGAAAGTACAGAGTAGAACCCTGAGTCTTTATGGCTTCAGTTAACTAGGGTTCCTTGTAAAGGAAATTTTACCTTAACTGACAGAAAGAGCTCCCTCTAGTGTTGGGATGTGCTCATGAAAATGATTTATTGCCCAGGACACAGGCCCCTGGTTCCATGCAGCAACAGAAAGAAACTTTTCTAGGGTAGCTGAGAGACTGAAGTCAGTTGGAATATTCTTGTCATGAAGATCTGTAGGAGGAAATTCTTCCCCTACCTACATAAATATTGGGTTTGTTGGAAGGGGATTTTTGTCTGCATAGTCTGGGGTTCTCTCCAACTGTAAATGTAAAAAATGTGTGATTCTGTTTTTTTTAGAATTTCTTTCTGGATTTTAGAGTGCTTACAGTCAAATATGAAGTCTCCTCATGCTATTCTGTATAGAACTGTATGGGAGGCACTTTGGAATAATTATAGCCATCGTGAGTTGCAAAGAAATGTGCAGAGAATCCAATGTGCCCTTTCCCATCATCTATTCACCTTCATTTAACAACCTGTACAACTGTGGAGCATTTGCGTAAACATACAGTTTGTTCTCTCTTTCTCTCTCTCCCCCCTCCCTCCCTCCCTCCCTCCCTCCCTGCCTGTGGAGGTCTTTGCACCATGTGGGTCACGGGTATTAAACTCAAGCCCCCAGCTTGGGCAGCAGAGACCTTTCTCCACTGAGCTATCCCTCTGGCCCCATGATTGGCTTTTGAATTCCTTATGTATCGTAGGTGCAAGAACTTTCCCAGATAACTTATGTGAAAATACTTCTTCTAACATGTACTTCATCTTTTTCGTTCTTTCTTCCATCAGGACTTTTTACGGGGCAGAAAAATTTGATTTTGATGGCATACTATTTATTAGTTATTCTTCCTACAGATTATGCTTCAGGTACCATGTTTAAGAAGTCTTTTTGCCTTAGATCCTGAAGATTTTCAGTGTTCTTGTATAGAAATTTTAGCTTTACATTGAAGCCCAAGATACATTTGGAGTTATTTTTGTATGTGATGCACCGAGGGTTTTTGTTGACAGATTTCCAGTTGTTACTGTTCAGTGTGCTGTAAACTGTCTCTGCCCTGTTGAATTGCTTTTTTCTTTTGTCTAGTACTAGTTGGGCATATTCACTTTGAGCCACATCTGGATTTCCTATTCTGTTCTGTTGGTTTATGGGTCTGCTCTTCCTCCAGGCTCACACTATCTTGATTACTGCCACAGGGGATGAATATGGCTTCTCCCATTTGGTTCTTTTTGAAAATTAATTTTATTATTTTTTTAGGCTTTCGTATATGTATGTACATGTATTCCAAAGTTATGTTGGCCCTTGAAAGAGCCTTTTCTTGATACTTGAGGATGTTTTATTAAGAGTTGAGTTTAACCTGGAAGTCAACTGAGGGAGAATAGATCTCTCTTTTACATTGGCTGCTAGTGCAGGAACATAATACGTTTCTCTAGGTATTTAGGTTCCCTCCCCTCCCCTCCCCTCCCCTCCCCTCCCCTCCCCTCTCTCTCTCTCTCTCTCCCTTCCTTTCTTCCTTCCTTCCTTCCTTCCTTCCTTCCTTCCTTCCTTCCTTCCTTCCTTCCTTTCTCTCTCTCTCTCTCTCTCTCTCTCTCTCTCTCTCTCTCTCTCTCTCTCTCTTTCTTTCTTTCTCTTTTTTGGTTTTATGAGACAAGGTTTTGCTGTGTAACAGTCCTAGCTGTCCTAGAACTTGCTTTGTAGACAGACTGGCCTCGCTATCACAGAGATCTGCCTCTATCTGCCTCCTAAATGCTGGGATTAAAGGCATGCACCACCAGGCCTAGCAATTCTATTGATTTCTTTTAAAAAACTTGTTTTATTGCCTTTTTTAAATTTCAATTTTGTTGTTTTCTGCCCTTATTTTATACATTTTCCTGAAGCTATAGTCTTTTTTTTTTTCTTTTTGGTTTGGTTTGCTTGTTTTTTTGTTTTGTTTTGTTTTTGTGGTTTTTTTTGACATAGGATCTCACTTGCAACCCTGGCTGGCCTGGAACTTGCTATGTAGAGCAGGTTGGTTTTGAACTTATGAGATCCAACTGCCTCTACCCCTGTAGTGTTATGAGTAATGGTAGGCTCCATCATGCCCAGCTCCTAAACCTATATTCTTATATTGAGTTGAGCATGTAATTCAGTGACTTGCCTAGCATATGAGGCTTGACTTTAGATCCCCAGCTATTAAAAAAAAAGGTATATTCTTATGAGTGGTTACTCAGATGCCTTTTAATCCTTCCCTTTGAAATTTTATTATTTACCTTTTCCTAATATTTGCCAATTTCTGTACTTCATGAATTTTGAAAGCATTGCTTGGTATAAACAAATGGACTGGAACCCAAGCAAGGATAGAAGTTTCTAGGCTGTTACTTCTTGGAATAGAGCCTTCTTTTAATGTATGGTTTTGTTTCACTGTATAAACTTGAGCATCATTTTGATGGACTGCAGCAACTTTGCTCATGGAGTCTTACGAATACTGAGGCTTAAATTTACCTTTAAAGATAGAGCTTCCACTTTTTGTAATCTTCTAGGCAATCTTTTGGTATTGATTGGATATTTCTCTCTTATTCTTACTGTGCTTCAGTAGAGCAGAGAGCCTGGGCGAGGGCGCCATTCCTTAGGTCAGCTTGTGTGGTGGATTCATCACATACTTCTTCTTGCATCACTGATGCCAGGATGTCTTTGCCTCAGGTTTCTGAGTTGTCCCCTCCCTTGACTGGTAGTTAATAGTTCAAAAATCAACTCCATGCTAATCATTATCAGTTCATTTAACCTTGACATGACACTTGGTATGTATGGTGGGGAGCTGTCCTTATTCTCTTGAGAAGTGAAACAGCAGAACTGTTTGAGGGTTAGGCATTGTGTGCAAAGTCCTTCAGCATAGCTTCATGGCTAAGTCTGTATTTGGATTCTAGACTTCTCCAGTTGAATGCCTTAGTTTAGGCAGGATTCCTAGTTGCACCAAGCTTTAGTTTCTTCTTCAAAAGATTAGGACTAAATGGTGTGATCACTATTAACATTAGATGTCCTTATCTGTAGCTCAGCTCTTGGGCTGTTGTAATAGTTGCCTGGTGAAAGGTAGCTTCAAGTTGTTTAGTTTTATGGCATAGCTTTTAAGCATATAAGCTGGCATATTTTTGGAGGCCCAGTTATCCTCTTAACTATATGTAAGATCAAGCCAAACAGTTCTTGACTAGTAAGCTAGGATTCTTGACCTCTTTAGTGAAAAGTCATTGTGGTATAGCTCTGGGTTCTAATGTCATTTTCCTATTGAGTCATCTTAAGTCATTTTATGTCTTTTGATGTCAATTATTTCCACTGAAGTGGAGATATAGCCCCTATGAGTATCATAAAAGTTAAAGAAACTGTTTTATAGAAATGATCCAGTAATGTTTCTGACTCAGGTGGGTGCTTATTTAAAATAAACAAATAATACATGTAATAGTAATCAATGAGCTGATTACTTACATAGCAGATAGGTGTTTAATAACATAAATGAATAATACATGTAATAGTAACCAGTGAGCTGATTACTTATATAGCAAGTGGGTGTTTAATACAATAAATGAATAATACATGTAATAGTAATCAACGAGCTGGTTCCTTGCATAGAGTTGTAGATAAATAAATAATTATCAAACTAGGCCATCACTGATGTTCATATGAAATACCAGTCTTAGGCGACCTCTGGAATACCTTTGGTCTTCCAGGGAAAGAATTTTGTACTAAGTTTGGTTCTTTCCCCAGAGGAATAAAATATTGAATAATTGACAAGAATATCCACCCACAGTTTTAGCCTCCTGTGGAGTCTCACCCTCAGGCAAACTTATATGTCCAACCCTGAACAGAGGGAGCCCAGTGTCGGCTAATCCAGCCCGAGTTGTCGGTCTTGGCCCCGTCCTTTGGTGCTTTTGGCAGACCTGATGAACCCAGAGGCCTGAGGCTTGGGTGGATTAGTCATTTTCATTAGAGGCCCGAGTATTGGGAACCCGTTCCTTGATTCAATCTTCTTTGCACGGGAATCACAGAATGGGTAAAGCACTTTATCCAGCTCTCTTCCTTCTTCTGTCTCTCCCTTCTAAGGTCAAAGTTGAGGATGAGGTGACAATTATGTGTCTCCATAAAATCACCGAACATCTGGTTTTCATTTTTTTTTTTTAATTTGGAAAATGGCACCATGTCCTGTTAGGTTGAGGTTAAATGTGAGCAGAGCACAGAGTCAGTGGCAGCAAACATTGGGGAAAACTGGAGAGTAAATATTGGGGCTGCAGTAGGCCATGATGGCATCAGTTGTATGTTCTTTGTTAGTTATTTTAATAGAATATTGTAGAATTATTAAACTTCTGAAAGTCTTCCATAGCTGGGTCTTAGGCTAGAGTTTGCCAAGTCATGGTTTAGAAGAGAAGGCATTAGATCTGGAAGAGGTCCTATTTAATGACTTCACTGGTTGGCAAGAAAGTGGAGGGAGCCACAAATAATAATTCTTTTTCCACGGTAGTTTTACCAAGGAAGGGTGTTAAATAGTTGCAAAAGATTTTATTATTAGTCATGCATTTTAAGTTACATTTGTCTTACTTTTAAAGGGCTATTACAATTTAGTGCACACAAATTGTAACAAACCAAGAAAAACCAGTTTTGACTGTCTTAGCAATGAGAAATTAGGGGCTAAAGAGGTAATCCAGAAGTTGTGAGTGCTTACTTCCCTTTCAGAGGACCTGAGTTCAGTTCCCAGCACACACATTGGGTGGCTCACAACCACCTGTAGTTCCATTTCCAGGGCACCTGACACCCTCTTCATGTTTACATACCCCCACACAGAAACATACACAATATACATAATTAAAACATATACAAATAAATCTTTTAAAAATTGAGAAATTAACTTTTAGAAACTTGATTCTTCTGGAAGGCTTCTCTGAAGAAAAATTGCCTGCTCAGAAACAGTACACACACATGTATCGTGACATGTGCACAATTGTTTAGTTTTGTTCTCTCTCTCCCTCCCAGTCTCATGTTTAAAGTTAGCCTAGAAAAGTTTTCAGTGTTCTGCCAAAATGAAATGATATGTGAAGTAAGGAGAGGCTTGCCATGAAAGTCGTAGATTGACATTCATATCTGTGTTTGTATTCTTACTTCCTCTTCATTGTTTTATATGTGTATTTGGTTTCAGCAGAAAGGATGAAAGCATAATACAGAAGGGGTAGGGAAAATGAGTCTCCAGCAAGTGTTTTAATTGCCTTTCTGTTCTTCTGTGATAAAATACTCTGACCAAAGCAACTTTGGGGAAGAAAGGATTTATTTGGCTTGCACTTCCAGGTCATGGTCCTTCCTTCACTGAAGGAAGTCAGGGCAGGAACTGAACCAGGAACTTGAAGGCAGAAATCATAGAGGAATGCTAGCTACTCTCTGGCTCAGCCACAGGCTTGTGTTTAGCCATTTTTGTTATATAACCCAGGTCCACATGTCTAGGAATGGCACCACCTGTGGTGAGTTGGGCCCTCCTATATCATTAATAATCACGACAGTTCCTCACAGACATGCCTACAGGCCTGCTGGGTCCTGCCTGACCTGTCAAACAGTCCTGAATAGGGGAGTAAGGATTGAGAAATAATAGATAGGGAAATCAGAGATGTAGATGTAAAAGAAAAAGACAGAGACACAGGATAGCTTTGGGAGGGCTCTGAGTCAATACCACAGCAGCCCCAAATTTATTTCTCAGGGCCCTTTTATACCCAAAATAGGGGGGCAAAAGATCTCTCCCTTTCAAGGACATCATGGTTCAAGGTATAAACAAGTGTAAATACCTCCTTAATTCTCAAGACACCTGGTAACCATGCCTTTGGCCAAACATCCTAAGAGAGCAAAGACAAGCTTGAACTCTCTGGCCTTGAGTCAAGATGGAATCAAGGCACAAACTGGGGTCACTGTGGACTCCCACACAGGCCAATCTGATCTAAGCAATTCCTAAATCATGGCTTTTCTCTCAGATGAATGTATGCTTGTGAAGTTGACAGTTAAATCTAACCAGTGTGGCAAGTGATTCTTATCTCTCTCTCTGTTCACCTTCTCTTCTTCCCCCCTTTCCTCTCATTCTCTTTGTTCGTTCTGCAGGCAGTTCTGATGTGAATGTGCATGCAAGGAGACTTGAGTTGCTAGGCAGTTTGTTCTTTGTAAGGCTAGTGCCTGTGTTCCCTGTCTTCACTTTCCATTAGCTCTGTTTGCTTGATCATGTCCACCACATGCGTCTCAGCATCTCTTGCTTTTGGTGCATGTATTGTAAGAAAATACCTTTCTCAGTTACTAGCTAGTTACACAGCCAAAGCCAAAACACTTTTCTCTTTAGTTGACTTCTACCAACCCAGAGCACAGGAAATAAAAATTAATGCCCAGGAGGAGACTATGGAAACACAAAGCCAGCCAACCTCGAGTCCTGAGACAATCCTAGGATAGAATGTCCCCTATATACAGAAGAAATGCCACCAGACTTGCCCGGTAGACCTGAAAGTCTGCTGAGATGGGAGTTGGGGGACCTGAGTTATTTGGGATTGGGAACAAGTCTTATCACCTCCCTAGACCCTTGTTCATCTAAAGAAGCAGGGAGGGTGACATACTGTTTGGAGTTCTTGTGTTCTATGAATTTTGTGAGTAAACGGGACCATATTCCACTTAATAAAAAACAATTATAGAAACAAATAGTAAAAATAGTTTAATAATTTGTCACTCTTGAGTGAAAGGGTTTAAAGGTTATCACTGTAACATTATTGTCTATATCAAGGCTTCTTCTTTTGTTTCTTTAATAATAATTGATTTATCTGTATTTTATGTACATTGGTGTTTTGCCTGTATGTATGTATGTCTGTGTCAGATCCCTGGAGCTGGAGTTACAGAGAGTTGTGAGCTGCCATGTGGGTGCTGGGAATTGAACCCGGGTCCTCCGGAAGAGCAGCCAATGCTCTTAACCACTGAGCCATCTCTCCAGCCCCCAGAAGATTTTTAAACTCGTGACCCATTTTTGTTCAAAAATTTCTAAATATAATCTCAGATATATAGGTATTTAAGGGGAATTAATATCAGATATCTACTGGTAATAAATAATAAATAACCTTATTTTAAGGTAATTCCTTTGTGTATGTTGAGTTTAACCATTCATGAACGATGAAAGCAAAATTGTGTACTAATGAGACAGTTGTGCTTGCACACTTTTTACATAAACAATTTAATCAAGGCTGAATATTTGCTACTGCAATATGTAGAGTGTCTTCAGTGGTTTTTTCAGAGTTGGTCGGTATTTTTATCTTATAACAGTCAATACTGAAAATGCCACTTGATGTAACGATGCATTACAAAACAGCAGGACTATATTTGGGGCCATTTCAGGAATTTTTGGAAATTCTGTTCTAATCCCAAGTCAAATTACATTTAACAGTTGTTTTTATGAAACCCAAGTCAGCAACTCAAACAGCATTTTTCAAAATCAAGCATTTCAATACAACACATACCACTTGAATACTTAAACACTGAGGAATGATAGTAGTATTGATGCCTTGTTTCTCATCATAAAACCGTCATGTTTCAATAAAATCAGAAAGGTTTGTATGTCTAGTGAAAACACATCAATAATATGCAGTAGTCTCAAATTGGATCCAAGGTACCTCAGGCACTGTTCATTGGTGTTTCAATGGTATGTGCCATACAGAGTGTGCATGTTGTGTGCTCAGAACCAAGGCTGCGGTGAAGCCACCCCATGTAATACAGGTGAGTGCTGCCAGAGACATCTCAGTTTCATTATGGGTTTGATTTTTAATTAACTTTTAGTTGCTATGTGTCCAGAAATCTTTCACTACTGCTAGTTTTTCATAATGACTGTAGTTATACGGCACATGGGGTTACATACAACCCATGATTTAAACAGCTTTGCACTTATTTATTGAATATTTAATGTAGGATTTTACTTGGAGTGTTTCAATGAACACTCATCCCAACACCACTGAGTATATGTATTAATATCCCCATGGTAAAGAAGAAGTAGATACTCAAAGAGATGATGTGAGTAAAACCCAAGTGCATTTTATCTCAGGCCCTCCACTCCACTGTTCCTCTATTTGCTTGACCTATAAACCTGCACCAGTTTCCTTAGAGCAAATCCAACAGCTGCCCTGTTTGGAAAGGATGTGGTGGACCAAAGATCTCATGGCGCTTCTTTTCTCCCTTATCTTTCGTAGGCCACCTCGAGATTTAGACTCCAAGGCTTGCATTTCTATTGGAAATCAGGTGAGAGAAGTCCTGAGTCCTCTTCGTACGTATGTGTCCCAACGGAATACCGAAAAACGTGTTTCCTGTGGCAGAATGTCAGGGGATGGATGGAAAAAGGTTTGGAATTCAAAGGGAGCTGACTCATGGTGCTTTTGCTATTTTGAGTTGGGAATTGCAGTCAAGCAATTGTGGTCCTCATGGAAGGCAGCTGAGGGAGATAGATGGCTCTCTCGGGAGGGTGTTTATCAAAGCCACACAGGTCTAGTTGCTATGAGCCAGTCATCGATGACAAGGAGCTGCAGCATAGATAACTTCAGAGGCACCTATGGTGATATTTTATTTGTATTAAAATGTTATTTGTATGTTAATAAATAAAATTGCCCAGGGGTCAGAGCTATTAGCAAGCCATAGGAAAGCCAGGTGGTGGTGGCGTATGCTTGTAATCCCAGCACTTGGTAGGCAGAGCTAGGTAAGTCTCTGTGTGTTCAGGGATACAGCCAGCATTGGATATACACGCCTTTAATCTCAATACCAACCATAGAAGACCTGGAGGTCTGTATAGACAGGCAGTGACAAGGCGGTCATGTGGTTGGGTTTACAACCAATGAGAAGGCAGAACAAAAAGTCTATATAAAAACTTTAACACAGGAAGTAGCTCTCTTTCGGAGAGGTAGGACCATCGCAGGAGGAAGGGTAAGGTTTTTGCTCTTAGTTCTGACCTCTTGGCTTTCTTCTTTGCATTGGTTCTGTGTTTCTTATTTAATAAGACGGTTGGTTACATCTACAGGCACCGTTTAAAAGTCACGTTGGGTGGAGTTGGGTCTGTTGCTGGGGACAAGCAAGTTGTCTACCATGGGACCCTAAGCATTTCCTGATTCTCCTTGCTTTGAGTGACACCTTGACATGTTAGAAAAACTTGTGGCCCAGCTCTCATACCAAGGACACCAGAAAAAAAAATCAGAGGGCAGCATACTTATGCCCTGCTGAGTTTTCACTTTCTTCGTTTGTGACTACTTTTCCACCTTGCAGAACTTTGAGGTGAAGGCAGATGACCTGGAGCCTATAGTGGAGCTGGGCCGAGGTGCGTACGGGGTGGTGGAGAAGATGCGACACGTGCCCAGCGGGCAGATCATGGCGGTGAAGGTAGAGTTGATGTTCTGAAAAGTGGTTTGTGTCTTCAGTGTATGCGCTTGCCTGTCTCAGCTGTGAATGGGCTTTTTGCACAGAAGCAAAACAACCCACCATAGAATAAAAAAGCACTCTCTGTATTAATTAGTATTTTTCCTGAACTTTGAGGAAGGTACTCTGCCGGCCTGTCTCATAGCTGCTTTCTATTTATTTTCTAAGTCCTCCCTGTCCCCATTTTTAATTTTTAAAGAATTTGTGTGTGTGTGTGTGTGTGTGTGTGTGTGTGTGTGTGTGACTGTGTCTGTGTCTGTGTCTATACACATGGGTACAGTTGCCCTTGGAAGCCAGAAGAGGGTGTCAGGTCTCCTGGAGCTAGAATTATAGGTAGTTGTGAGCCACCTAATTTGGATCCAAGAACTAAACTTTGCTCTTCTACAAGCACACTATGTGCTCTTAACCACTGAGCCATCTCTCTAGTCCCTACTACTGTATAACTAATTACACTTAAAATAATCAATAGTACTTTAAAACCCTCATCTAAAACCAACCCAAATTAAAATTTTAACTCAAAATATTGTTATTCTGTTGTTGTTATTTTATCAAATCAAATTCTAAACAAAAGCCTCTTTAATTACATATTGTGTTGTTTTAAAAGAACTGCCCTTGAAAATCAAGAAACAAAACCCGAGAAATAAAATTGTCTATATTTGTGGGGAAAAGAAGGGTAAAAATTTTCTAGTGTTGATTTCTTGGATTTTGAGCTATGGGCAGTTTGGAATCAGCCTGCATGTCTTAAGGAGATTCTGAGTACTCTAGAGGTGACTTTCGAATGTGGAAAGATGTCCAAATGACAGCATTCTCTATTAGAGATACAATCATGGGTGACTTTTATTACCAAATTTGTCCTAGAATGAATTTCCTAAGGGTACTTGTCTTAGTTAGGGTTTCTATTGCTGTGAAGAGACAACATGACCATGGCAGTTCTTATAAATGAAAACATTTAATTGGGTGACTTATAGTTTAGAGATTCTGTCCATTATCATCATGGTGGGACATGGTGGTGTGTAGGCAGACATGGTGCTGGAGAAGTAGCTGAGAAGTCTATATCTTGTGCAGGCACCAGGAAGTGAACTGCAACACTGGGTAGTATCTTGAGCATATATGAGACCTGAAAGCCTGCCTCCACAGTGACACACTTCTTCCAACAAGACTACACCTACTCCAACAAGACAATACCTCCTAATAGTATCACTCCCTTTGGAATAATTTTCTTTCAAACCACCACAGTACCTAGGGTTGACTATAGCTATGGTACTTCAACATTTTCCAAAAGTGGGGATTTTCACCTTTTTTGCTATTTTCTTTTTGTTTTAAAGATTTATTTTTATGTGTATGTATGTGTGTGTACCTGACTGCATGTATATATATCATGTGTGTGCAGTGCCTACAGAGGCCAGAAGAGGGCATCAGATCCCCTGGAAGTGGAGTTACGGACAGTTGTGAGCTTCCATGTGGGTGCTGGGAACCAAATCTGGCTCCTCTGCAAGAGAACAAGTGTGCTCTTAACTGCTGAGCTGTCTCTCCAGCCTACCTGTTTTTCTTTTTCTCAAACCTTGGGATCTCAGAGAAGCAGAAAATAATCAATGCTATCACCTTTTGTATTGAACTGACCTAAACATTGATTGCATTTGCAGCTTTGAAGTGCTTTCCCACATACTTGCCCCCTCTCTGAGGTACACTATGTGTTTGTTTCTAAGCAGGGGCTGGTCAGGAAATCAAATGGTCAACCATCCTCATCATTTTTCATTTGTTCAAATAGCTAATGCTTAGGGATGTTGTGGGCCAAGTTTCTACTAACAGCAGAAAGTTTCATTCAGTTGTTAGGATAGGGCCCTGGTGGGTTCTCGTCTTTTCAGCTGACTCTTCCCCAGAGGAGTGACCATACATTTCCCATGTGTTCCCATTCAGCGGATCCGGGCCACAGTTAACAGTCAGGAGCAGAAACGGCTACTGATGGATCTGGACGTTTCCATGAGGACAGTGGACTGTCCATTTACCGTCACCTTCTATGGTGCGCTCTTCCGGGAGGTAGGTGATCCTTCAGGTCAATGTCCATGGATTTCAGCAACTTAAAGGGTCTCTGATCTCATCATAGTCTCACTGCTCTCTGCTGGGCCTGCTCTTTGGAGATAATCTTATTTGCTTTTAAATGATTTTAAAATCTTGAGGAGACAACATCCCTTTCTTCTGAAAAGAAAGAGCCCTTCAGAAAGATTGTTGGTTATGTTTTTCTTTTTCTCATTTCTTTCCTCATTGATAATCCCTGAACTTATTGGTCTCCAGGGTGATGTGTGGATATGCATGGAGCTCATGGATACGTCACTAGATAAATTCTACAAACAAGTTATTGATAAAGGCCAAACAATTCCAGAGGATATCTTAGGGAAGATAGCAGTTTCTGTGAGTACATCATGAACGTCACCTACTCAAGGGGAATGGGAAAAGTCCAGGATTTCTGTCTTTGCCTAATAACCACCATCCAACTGTTAGATCTGTTACTTCACCAGGTTCTGTTGGGTACTGAGTATGTCAGTGGGAAGCTAAATCGATGCTTTTATTCCCAATCTCTGTGTAGTACATGCAGCTCATGACCTGGTTTGGTAAACCATGCCAAATGCCTCTATCTTGGTTTCATTTCTTTGGCTGTGATTTAAAAAAATATTTAACCTGACAAAAGCAGCCTAAGGGAGAAAAGCCTCATTTAGCTCACAGTTCCAGGTTGCAGGCCATTATTGCAGAGAGTCGAGGCATCAGGAACTTGAAGCAGTTATTTGTATTATATCCACAGTCAAGGGCAGAGAACAATGAATTAGCACATTCATTTTGTTTCCTATATTTTTATGCAATCTTCTACCCAAAGAATGGCACCATCCACAGTGGGTGGGCTCTTCCCACTTCAATGGACACAATCAAGACAATCTTCTACAGGCATGCCCACAGGCCAACTTTATCTAGGCAGTCTCTCATTAGACTCTTCTCCAAGGTGATTCCAGATTGTGTCAAGTTGACCATTAAAACTCACCATCATGGCCTCCAAACCATGTGTTTATCTTCTGTGATGACCATTCCTACACCTGTACTCAGATATACTTTAGTTCAGCTTTCTCTTGTAGAGTTTTTAATATTTTCTTAACACTATAGTGTAAAAGAAATTAGAATACAAGGCAACCTTGATGACTACCAAGGTTTAGGAAGGTGGAGGAAAAATGATGCTTAAGAGAGATGAAGGAGGCATCTCTGCTGGAAGGTACAATCCACCTTGGTGGGAGGAGTTCAGTTAGGTAACTTCCTGTTGTTTTCCTTATTAGGGCCACTACCATTTGAGAAAATCACTCCTTAAGCAACCAAGGAGAGTTAATAAAAATTGAACACACTTAACATTCAGCTTCTTTCCAGTGATGGGGTCAGTAAATCTACTCTGTTTGACTTGCAGATTGTAAAAGCATTAGAACATCTACACAGTAAGCTCTCTGTTATCCATCGAGGTAAGCATATGTAGAGCTATCTCGGCAGTTCCTTGTACTACGTTCATCTCTTTTGCCTGGTGTCTCCCTTCCTCTCCTGCTCTTCCCCATATGTATAGGGGTGGGGTTGAGTTAGGTAGGGGAACTAAGGGGCCTTCCTTCGGGATTGTATAACAAATGTAAGTAGCTGTATTAATCTTCTATTACTGTGACAAAACGCTTGACACAATCAGCTGATGAAGAAGAAAGGTTTACTGTGAATCACAGATTGAAGGTTTCAGTCTGTAGTTAACTGACCTTGTTGCTATTTGGCCAGTGATGAGGCAGCAGAGCAGTTCAAGATGGTGGGACCATGTTGCAGAGGAACCTCATTCACCTTTTGACCAGGGATAAAAGGGAGACAATGAGATCAGCATCCTATAATCCCCTTCAAGGGCAGTCCCCAGTGATCTAAAACATCCCTCCAAGCCCCATCTTGGGTTTCAACATCTCCCATATGGCTAAACTAAGGACTAAGCCTGTATGTAGCAATGGGCTCTTAGAAGACCTTTAAGATTCAGGTTGTAGGCCTTAGCCATTTTTTGAGAATATAAAAACAAGTGAATTTTGTATTATACCTAAATTGAATAGAAATTCACCAAAGAGAGCTATGGATGCATCATTGAAAATTTGAAAGGACCCAAGGGGAAAAAAATGCAGCTTGTATTATGCATCCTGTAGCAGGAGGTGGTTACAGAAGCATAGTCACAGGATGAATCAGAACTGCATCTTAACAAGATCCTCAGATGTGTCTGTGCAAGTGTAGTGTGGAAATCTCCAGAACAAAGCAGAGCCTTTCCAGGCTACCGGAAGTGGGGGGAAAAATCTCTTTCCGGCCTTCCTCTTTTCCTGTTAGATCTTATTTTTGCACAGGTGTGTGTGTGTGTGTGTGTGTGTGTGTGTGTGTGTGTGTGTGAGATTCTTATGCACAAACGTGTGTGGATGTGTTCACCCATGCATGTACGTAGAGGCCAGAGAAAAATGTCAGGTTCTTGCTCTGTCACACGCTGTATTATTTCTTTGAGGCAGGGTCTCTCATTGAAGGAGCTAGCCAACCCCAGTGATCCTCCTGTCTCCTCACAGAACTAGGTCACTGGTGTGCATGACCACACCTAGCTTTTAATGTGGGTTCTGGGGATTTGAACTCAGGTCCTTCACGCTTGCACAGTGTATGCTTTTAGGTGCCAAGCATTCTCCCTAGCTGTGTCTGTTATTTCTTCATCTGTCCGCTCATCTAATTTATCTACCCATCCTTTTCTATCCATTCGTCTCATAAAATATTCTTTTAAGTTTTGTTTTTACTTAGGTGTGTATGTGTGCTTCCATATGTGTGTGGTCTCTGCCACATTAGTGCAGAGCCCACAGAGGCCAGAATAGGGCATTGAACCCCTTGGAGCTAGAGTTACATGCTGTCGTGAACTGCCTGATATAGGGGCTGTGATCTAAACTTAGGTCCACTAGAAGAGCAGCAAGCTCTCTAATCGTTGAGACACCTCTCCCGCCTGTAAAGTCACTTTCAGTATAGATGTTTTTAATAACGTGAAGAAGAACTAAGAGTTATCTAGGAAAATGTATTCTTTAAAAAATTCTACTGACCTAGAGAGATGGCTCAGTGCTTAAGAACACTGGCTGTTCTTGCAGTTCCCAGCACCCACATGGTGGCTCACAACCATCTATAAGTCCAGTCCTAGGGAGTCCAACACCCTCTTGTGCCTTCTGAGGGCACTGCACTTGCACACTGGGAGAGACATACTTAAAAATAAATAGATTTTAAAAAAATTCTATATAGGGATTCTCAATAAAGAGATAACTAGAAAAACCTCAATAAAACAGCCCGGAAATAGGAAAGTACCGTATATGGAGTTGTATAAGAAAAACAAGGAACTGGTTATTGTTGGAAGGTTCTAATATGGGCACTAAGGACTGTGCTTGGGGTAATTTTCAACCTCTGTGAGTTTGGCTATGATGTAAAATGTCACGCATGGTATACCTGCTGTCCCTAGTGTTAACTGGCAGCAGGAAAGCTGGAAAAACAGAAGAGTAGACTATAAGAAGTGGGTCTATAGATAGGAGCAAGCATTCAGAGTATCTGTAGGTGCGGAAGTCATTCAAACTTTCTTCAAAATATTGAAATATTCAATTTTTTAAATTAGAATGTATACAAAGCTATGAAAGTAATAAAATGATATTTGGTATGTCATCTAGTTTAAGAGAAAAATGATAGTGAATATTTTTTATTTTATTTTATTTTATGAGACAAGGTTTTCTGTAGCCCAGGATGGTCTCAGACTTGCTGTGTAGCTAAAGGATCCCCTCCCCGACCCCTGATTATCTCTAAAGTCATGGGATTATAGGCCTGTGCCATCATACCCAACTGAAAGACTACATTTAGAATAAGCCTAGTCTTTGTATTCTATGACCTTTGTGCAAAGTGTCACAGAGGTCAGAAGTTAATTGTACTTTCCAGTTCTACCACCTAGAGAGAGCAATGGTTCATCTATTGGGGCATGTCAGTGGGTAGGTTGTGCCTTCCTAACCTCAATGGTTCATTTATCACCCCTTCTGCCCATGTTTGGGCATGCCTGGGTTTATAACATTCTACACTAAGGTGGCCCCTGATGAATTTCTTATAGAGATTTCAGTCAAAATGGTTTGTTGTGACCATACTTGAATCATTTTACTGTCTTCTTTTTCATTCTTCAACCTCTTACTATCACACTATTCAACAGAGCACTTTATTTTCTGTGTGTATGTGTGTATATAATGTGTGTGTTGTATGTGTGTGTGAATGTGGGTGCTCTCATGCCACAGCTCACTTACAGAGAGCAAAGGGCAACCTCAGATGTTGGTCCTTGTCTTCTGTCTCATTTGAGACAGCATCTTGTTGTTCACTGCTGTGTACATCAGGCTAGCTGGCCCACACTTCTGGGGAATCTCATGTCTGTGTCTCCCTTCTCCCGACAAGGACGCTGGGATTACAGACACACGTATAACGCACCAGGCTTTTTAAACGGCTGCTGAGTAGTTGAACTCAGGTCACCATGCTTGCATGATGAGTGCTTTTACCCGCTGAGCTATCTCCATAGCCCTGATAGATGACTTTGCAGGGGACATTTGGTTTGGTAATCATTTTTAAGTTCTTACTATGTGTGTGGAGGCAATGAAGTATAAGATAAGCAGAGGAGACAGTGTTTGGTGTTTCATAACCCTGAAAGACACAGACAAAATATGAAGGATTAAAAGCCAAGTGGAAAGGAGCAAGCTGTATGTAGCTGTGAGTCAGGATTGATGGTGACATTTGTGTTGGGCAGCTTGGCAAACATGGAAGTGTAAGACAAGTGGAGAGTCTAGAGCCCTCTAGTGGTGGAGAAGTGAATTGTTGCTCTTTCTTTCAGATGTCAAGCCTTCTAATGTGCTCATTAATACCCTGGGCCAAGTGAAGATGTGTGACTTTGGAATCAGTGGCTACCTGGTGGACTCTGTTGCTAAAACGATTGATGCGGGTTGCAAACCATACATGGCTGTAAGTACTGCACCCAGAAGGGTGTGTGTATGTGTGTGTGTGTATGTATGTGTGTGTGTGTGTGTGTGTGTGTGTGCGCGCGTGCGTGTGTGTGCACTGAGAAATGTACCTGCTTGCAAAACTAGGCCAGAAAATAAGAAATGGATGGCTGTGAGGGAAAAATTGAAATAAATCTCCGATTCAATCAATATTCTTCATTGCATCATTTTCTTAAAGGTCTTATGTCAGAAACCATTAGTTACTTGCTCCATATATTGTCTCTAGCCTTTGAAGTTACTATAACAAAATACCAAAAATTGGATGCCTTACAGACAACAGATAGTTATTTAAGAGTTTTTCACTCTGCAAAGTCCAAGATGAAGACCCTAGAAGGTTCAGGATGTGGTTGGAGCCTGCTTCTCTGGCTCCTTGTGTCTCCTTGATGGTCCTCACGTGATGGAAGGAGCAGGGGAGTCTGTTTAAGGCTTCTATTATGACGGTACTAACCTTATCCACGGGAGCCTACCCCAATCCACAGTCATCTTAGAAAGATACAACTTCCCGTCATGGTCACAGGTGGGATAAGGTTTTAATGTGTGCATTTTTGGATGACACAAACATGCAAATTCAGAATTAAGTTGAAGGGACATATTTGAAAATACGTATAAGTAGTATGCACTGCTGTACAGTTTTAGACACTGACTTTCATGAGAGTATTAGCTTGATTGCAGACGGAAGACTATGGATAACTTAAATTCCCCACACAAGGCAGTTGTCATCACAGAATACCTCAGGGCTCGTGCATGCTCACTGCCTATTAGCAAGACCTTGAGATTCGTTCAAGCGGAGAAACACATTCACTTTGGAAATGGACTTGTGTTTGGGTTTGAAAACTTCTTGTCCATATTTGAGTAAAAGTCCCTAAGGTCTCTTAACATTAGACGGTCAGACGGTAGTTGGGAACTTCTGCAGATTTTTTTTTTTCTAAGTTTTGAGCTGTTGGTGTTTTTACCAATGATGTTTCAATAGATAGAGATTTTGACCATGTACCCTTGTTCTTGTTAAGGCAATTAAAATTTGTTATGAGGGATCTGGATTTATTGCTGCCTCTAAGAAAAGACAAATATATAAAGAAGGGAAACCCTGTGGAGACATTTCATAGCTTGTGATTACCCAGTCTTTTGGACTGGGAGGCACATTAACAGAGTCAAATAACTCATTTGGCATCTGGTGCTGTCTCCATCTGGGTCTTTATTGAGCTACACATAGCATGGCAATTATCTTTCCATTTCTTAGCTCTCTGTCTCCTTTCCAGCCTGAACGAATAAACCCGGAGCTCAACCAGAAGGGGTACAGTGTGAAGTCTGACATTTGGAGTCTGGGCATCACCATGGTAACCTATGATCATCATTGTGGGCTATGAGGTTTTGAGCATGAAACTGGATGGGATAGTCTTTGGGGATCCAGAAGCAAATGCCCTTGAGACACCACACTTGGGCACCACTTCCTGTCTGAAATGGCGGGTTGTTTTCCCGGGCTGATTATTTGCAGTGTGGTACAGTGGAAACCCTATAATGAAATCTGGCAGTCCAGATTTTCCTGTCTCTTACTAGTCATATGACCTACAGTAACTTGTGTATTCTCATAGACTGTCTTTCTGATAGACATGGGGTTAATAGAGTTCTTATAGTTTAAATTAAGTGATTATAATCAAGACAAGAAACTTAAGTTACAAAAAGAATGCTAATGTGCAGGGGCCCTGATAGGCCAAATGCACTAAGCTGTGTATTTGATTTTAATTTTTTGAGACCAGGTCTTATGTAGCCCAGGCTGGCTCCAAAATCTATCTGTAGTCCAGCATGACCTTTAACTTCTGATCCTCCACCCTTCACTTGCAAAGTGCTGGGATTACAGGCATGTACCACCATGCTTAGTTTGATACTATATTGGGGATCGAACTCTTGGATTCATGAGTGCTATGCAAGTGCTCTGCCAACTGGGTAACGTCGTCCCAAGCTCTGCGCTGAACATTTTCACGGTGGAAGTTTTGGATGTTGAAATCAGATCCCTCCTAAGAGCACAATAACAGATGGTGTACTTTCCCGAGCCTGGTCCTATGGCCGCACAGTCAGTGCCTTATCTGTACTCTCTGTGTACGTTTTCAGAGTCTCTGAGGTCTGGAATTATCCACTGTGGTCCTGGCTCCTGCCCAGGACCAGCAGCTGATTATATCCAGTGAGTTATTCCATGTCCCTGCCCAGAAAACATGTGATTCTGTCACAGCAGAGTGGCCTTTACTCAAGTCCAATAAAAGATCAGTTATTCGGTCCTGGGTAGCTTTTTTTTTTAAATTTCCATTTCACCAAAGGACCTGTAGGTGGCAGCAGAGGCACGGTGCTGCCAAAGTCTTAAAAATTCCTTCCTGGCCAGATATTTGAAAAACTGGTTGTTTCCTGTCTTGAACTTTAATGCTCTTGGCTGATAAGTTTCTATTAAATAGCATTTTGGGTATTATCAAGGGACTCGTTTATTTAGGTAGGTCTAAATAGCTGTCGCTGGTGAGATAATATTAAAAAAAAAAAAGCACCGAGATTTTGTGAGAACGGGTTATTAGTTTATTTTTCTTCCCCTAATTATGCTCGAGCCTCACCTTGAGTCCTCCTAAAAAGAAACCCAGCTGCTTCCTAAGAGCCCTTCTTAATGGTTGCCTCCCCCCATTTCCCTCCTTTTAGATTGAGCTGGCCATCCTTCGGTTTCCCTATGATTCTTGGGGAACTCCCTTCCAGCAGCTAAAGCAAGTGGTAGAAGAGCCGTCGCCACAGCTCCCAGCAGACAAGTTCTCCGCAGAGTTTGTTGACTTTACCTCACAGTGGTAAGAGGACCCTCCATCCCACAGATCTATGCTAAAGAAGACAGATCGTTCTCATGACTATCCTCCATGGGGTCTGAGCCATCCCATACACTCATTTCAGAAGCATCCATGGAGTCTGTCCTCCATGCTGCAGGACATAGTCCTTGCCCCTACCCCCACCCCAATTCCAGGTCTAGTAGGGAACTCAGTTAAGACAATACTTATTTGATAGCATTATGATTGGATTGGCAAGACCAGGGGTGGAGATATGCATAGGATATTTGGAGGATATAAATTAAGATGGCTTTGTGTGTATGTGTGTGTGTGTGTGTATGTGTGTGTGGTGTATATGTGTGTGTGTAGGATATAAATCCTGAGCAGAGGCCATGAGAGGCATTTTCCCACTAAGGTGAGTAAGGAAGGAAAGGTATGTCCTTTAGAAGGACTGTACTGTATTTGTATCACCAAAGCAGGAAAAACCTCTCCAAAACCTTGTGGTGGCCCGTTAATTTTAGCTGTCACCTTTGCACAATCTAGAGTCTCAGTGAGGGACTGTTTAGAACAGGTTGGCCTGTGGGACATCTGTGAGGGGATTGTTTTGATTATGTTAATGGATGTGGGAAGAGCCTAGAAGTGGATGGTATCATTCACTGGGTTTGGGTCCTGGACCATACAAGGGAGAAGAGGAGCTGTGGACTAGAAACATGGGTGCATTCATTTCTCCCTGCTCTTGACTGTGACTGTGATGTGACAAGTTGTTTTCAATTTCCACTGCCCCGACTTCCTGCTATGCTGGAGTATAACGTGGAGTTGTGAGCTCAAAGAAACCTTTTCTCTCTTAAGTTGTCTTCTGTCGGGGGTATTTTATTCCAGCAACAACAATGAAACTGGGACAGAACTGTGAGCAATTTAATATTGATTCCAGACAAACGCAGTAAGGCCTGGTGGAAGACTAGGGGTGGGGGATGGGTGCGAAGATTTATTTGTGCTGAGGAGATTGTGGGGCTCCAAGAATGTTTCTTGGATGTGTACAAGTCCTGCAGAGCTTTGCCTTGGGCAGAACCCATGTGGACTGTGGATGGATTTGCCCATACAGCTATAGTAGGTACTGTTGGGGGTTCGGAGGCAAATTCAAAGAAAGCTGGAGCACAAAGAGAGGAGTTACTGGCGTAGTCTCGGAGAGTAAAAGAGGACGTAGTATTTCCCAGGGGCTCTCATGGTGTCTGTCTGTACGATGGCCATGATGCTTCACAGAGCAGGACGGGAGCAGCAGCCGCAGGTGCGGTGGGGAGGAGATGTCAAGAGTACAGCACAAAGTGGAACCCAGTTAGTTTAGATGGCTATTCTGTGAAAGCAGATGGGAACTAGGAGGGAGTGGGTGGTGGGTCAGAGCTGGCTGTGGTCCCAACTGTGCCTCTTGGAGGGAGCAGTCTCAACCACAGTTGCCACTGTGGATTGGCCTAGCCCTGGGAAGGCTCCCTGAGGTCCGGGGATGCTGAAGTAACACTCCCTGGGCTTTGTTACAGCTGTGCTTCTTTGGAAGTGGTGTTTCAAATACAGCTCTTACTGGAAAACATGATGAGCCGGGGTAACTCTTGGTTGCTTATGGCCCTTTAGGCTGTTTCTGGGTGCTCACCCCTTCTGACTCCTGGTGCTTTCCCCTAATGTTTTACAAGGCTACCATGGCGGTTCATTCCAAGTTTTCATTTTGGCTGAAAGACCAGAGAGAGCTGGAATACTGGGCTCTAGGACAAGGTTGTTGTGTGTCTTTAATAAAAATGCACCCTCCCTTCTCTGGTCTCCTGAAGTGCATCCTGTTGTCCTTGAGTGATTGTGTGGGTGAGGTGATGCATCTGCCAGCTTGAAATTGGGTCATGATTTCTGCCTTTTCGATTCAAAAACTTGATGGCTTTTGTTTTTATTTTGTTTCACTTTTTCCCCCGTTATCCTCAAGTGTTTAAAGGTCACGTAGGAAAAGCCGTGAGTCACGTTGCATAGTTGATCACAGTTGACTCCAAGACTTCTCAGGAGAGTGCTCCTGGGAGGCGATCCTGTGTAAGGCAGTGTCTTCAAGCTTCTCTTCTGTTGCTCTTCTTCTCCCTGGGCCCCTTCTCTAAGGATTCTGGGTATTTTGTGAAGCTTTGGGAAGAACAAGGCGGGTGTAAAAAAAATCTAGAATGCCGGGTCTCCCGTTGTGGATCCATGGTTTAATGTAGTTCTCTGCCCTCCTTTTCCATTCACTGGTCAGTCTCTGTTAGCATTTTCCGAGGTGCTGACCCCTGAGCTCTGCCCTCAGCATCAGTATTTTTCAAGTGTTTGCACCCTTAGCATGTGTCTCAGTTAGGGTTTCTGTTGCTGGGAAGAGATGCCATGACCACAGCAGCTCTTATAAAGGAAAACATTTAGTTGGGGCTGGCTTACAGTTCAGAGGTTCAGTCCATTATCATCATGTCGGGAAGTATGATGGCACGCAGGCAGACATGGTGCTGGAGAAGGAGCTGAGAGTTCTACATCTGGATCTGAAGGCAGCAGGAAGAGAATGCTGTACTGGGCCTAGCTTGAGCATCTAAGACCTCAAAGCCCTGGTGACACACCTCCTCCAAGAAAGCCACACCTACTCCAACCAGGCCACACCTTCTAATAGTGCTACTCTCTATGGGCCTAGTGGGGGTGAGGGACATTATTTTACAAACCACCACAGCATGGTTCTGATGTAATCTCTCAGCATGTGGTGAGAACCCCAGCTTAGATGTCAGTTCTGTGAACATGCCTTCCGCTGCTGTGCATTCCTGAATGCTTCTCATGTGCAGTTGGTCACGTCGTTCAGTTACTAGTCTGTATCAAACTGTTTTTTCCCCCTCTCATTTAGCTTGAATTTTTCCCCCCAAAGAATCAAAGCATTGAAACTTTTACAAATATTTATAAAAATGATGTTGGGACCGAAGTAAGTAGAACAATTACCTAGCATGTGTGAGGCTCCGGGTTCTATCCCCAGTGTACCAAAACCAACCAAGCAACCAAACACCCAAAAACCTTGAGAGATGAATGTGTTGTAATTTTTTTTTTTTGGTTTTTTGAGACAGGGTTTCTCTGTGTAGCTTTGCGCCTTTCCTGGAACTCACTTGGTAGTCCAGGCTGGCCTCGAACTCACAGAGATCCGCCTGGCTCTGCCTCCCGAGTGCTGGGATTAAAGGCGTGCGCCACCACCGACCGGCTGTAATTTTAATGTATGTGTCTATATGCAGTGAGTCCAGGTACCTGTGTTCTTGCTCTTTCTATAGTGACCACATTGTTCCCACCTTCCACCTCTGACACTCAGAGTCTCATGGCTGTTCCTCTGAGAACTCCTTTTCTTTCTCTTTTTCTCTGAATTTTAGCCCCAGATACCGTAGTTTATTTATCTACATATTTTGGGCTATTGACATGTTGTGGCTTTCCTGTAGCTTTTGAAAGCCTGGCAACCCTGTTAAGGCTGTGTTATTTCATTTGCATACGACGTGCCAGTTTGTCTCACTTATGGAGGTCATTAAAAATAATAAAATAGTGACAAAATTTATATCATGTCAGTCTTGAAGTCGTCAAAGGACAGATCTTCTTTTTAAAAACCACAAAATTGCCGAGCAGTGGTGGCACACGCCTTTAATCTCAGCTCTTGGAAGGTAGAGCCAGGTGGATCTCTGTGAGTTCAAGGCCAGCCTGGTCTACAGAGTGAGTTCCAGGAAAGGCACAAAGCTACACAGAGAAACCCTGTCTCGAAAAACAAAAAAACAAACAAACAAAACCCCCACAAAATTTTATTTATTTATTTATGTATTTATTGTTTGTTTGTTTTTGTGGGTGTGCATGTGTAGATGTATGTAAACAACCGTCTTATTAAATAAGAAACACAGAACCAATGCAAAGAAGAAAGCCAAGAGATCAGAGCTAAGAGCCTTACCCGCCTGCTGCAGCTAGCCTCTTCAGCCAAGAGACCTCTCCGAAAGAGACCTACTTCCTGTCTGTTTGTCTTTATATAGACTTTCTGTTCTGCCTTCTCATTGGTTGTAAACCCAACCACATGGCTGCCTCGTCACTGCCTGTCTGTACTTATTTTTCATTTCTATTAATGGATGAGTCCATCCTGTGCTCAGGCACAGTGTCATTTCATTTGCTTTTGTATTGACAGTTTAGAAGTGAGCATGAGTAGAGTGGAAAGAACCCCGGTTATCTCTAAAGAAAGCTTACTTTTCTACTTGACTCTTATCTATTTTCTTATCACACAGCTGTACTACTGACACATTTTCATGAAAAGACCGTATCTTTTTTTTTTTTTTTTTTTTTTTTTGGTTTTTCAAGACAGGGTTTCTCTGTGTAGCTTTGTGCCTTTCCTGGAACTCACTTGGTAGCCCAGGTTGGCCTCGAACTCACAGAGATCCGCCTGCCTCTGCCTCCCGAGTGCTGGGATTAAAGGCGCGCGCCACCACCGCCTGGTGAAAAGACCGTATCTTTTTGAGTGCTACCACTACACTTACCCAGCATAGTCAGGCTATGGTCTTCAAGACCTTTCCCAGTGACCTGAGAACTTTGTGGTAAGCAGAGAGAGGGGACTGTGGATTTCAGAAGGGATACACGCTAGAAATGGTACAGTCTAGGGACCTTTTTTTTTTCTTCCCCAAGATGGGGTTTCTCTGTGTAGTTTTGGTACCTGTCCTGAATCTCGCTCTGTAGACCAGGCTGGCCTCGAACTCACAGAGATCCGCCTGGCTCTGCCTCCCAAGTGCCACCACTGCCTGGCTCAGTCTAGGGGTCTTGACCAGGTTTGTTTTCCCTGCCAGGTAAAGAATTAAAAGGCAGGAAAAATCTGAAGCACAACAGGTAGCTGAGGAGAAATCTCATGCACCGCAGACAGAATCAGCAGTTAAGAGCACACATGTAATAGATACACAGACAAAAAGACCCTCTACAAAGCAGAAGGCGGCCTTGGGAAAGCCAAGCTCTGTATCTTCTGGAGGTCTGGGGGTCTTAGAGCCCCTGAAGAGTCT